GGGAGTAATTATGTTTGTTTCCTGCAGCCGCTCCAACTCATCCTCCACTTTCTTTTTCATGGCGTAAGGCACTATCCTGGGCTTGAAAAAGCGAGGCTCGGCCTGAGGATCCACAAACAGCTCAACTGTAGTGCCCTGCAGTGTGCCCAGTTCATCTTTCAAAATCTCAGGGTACTTTTGAATGACATCCTCAGTCACTCTGGTGTGTTTTATCTCCCCCCAGTTCAGTTGTATTTTGTTTAGCCAGTCACGCCCTAGTAAACTAGCCCCATTCCCTTTCACCACCAGGAGCCGTGCTCTCGCTTCCTGGCTGTTGTATGCAATGTCCACCTCTAGAGCCCCCAGCAATGGTATGGTCTCCCCGGTGTACGTACGCAGTCTGATCCCTGCCGGTGTGAGGGCAGAAGCCTGTTTTGAGCCCCACATTTGTTTGTAGGTCTCCTCACTGATGAGAGGCAGAGGCCCCCGTGTCAACCTCCATCCTCATCTGCTTTCCATCTACCTCCACTGTAGCATAGATAGGCTCTGCGCGCGGCTCACTCACATTAAACATGTTGTAGGAACAATGTTCTTCTTCCTCCTCTGTGCTCTCTAGGTGGTGTGCTGCTGACTGCGGCTTCGGTGCTGTGAACTTGCCCTGCCCAGTAAACCCACCCTCTGGCTTGCTCCTAGGACCCCTGCATTTTTTAGCTAAATGTCCCTTTTTGTTGCAATTGTGACAGACAGTATCCTTGTGTTCTTCCACATCTGAAACATTCCACTGCTTTTCCCCTTTTTCCTCCTGCCGCCTCTTTTGTCACCTGATTCACTGCACAACTTCCAGTTGGCCTTTTGAATATGTTTCACATTACTAGCGGCCATCTCCATCCCTTGAGATAGTTCCAATGCTCTCTTGAAAGTCAGTGTGGCTTCCCCCCACAACCGGCGCTGTATGCTGTCCTCATTAATGCCACAGACTAATCTGTCACGGAGCATGTCCTCTAACATAGCCCCAAACTCACAATGTTCAGAGAGTTCACATAATTCAGCAACAAAGTTAACAACAGACTGACCTGTTTTCCGAAAATGGCAGTTAAACTTGAACCTCTGGACAATCACTGAAGGATTTGGATTGTGGTGAGTCTGAACGAGAGCAACTAGATCCCCAAAAGGAATTTCTCCCGGTCTCCGTGGTGTAGCCAAATTCCTCATTAGCGTGTAGGTTTTAGCCCCACACACACTCGAGAATAGAGCGCTGTTTAGCCTCATCTGTAATTCCATTTGCCAAGAAAAAGTGTCCCAACCTTTCCACATATTCCGTCCAGTCCTCGTTCTCTTCCACAAACTCAGTGATAGTCCCAAACATTGCCATTATAACGCCAACTTGTCCTTGATCCTCGTTAGCGATTTTCACTTGCTGCTGATTGTCCCCGTCAGCGTTTCCCTCCAGCGGCGGCTGCTCTCCGTCGCTCATTAAGCTAGCTAGCTAACTGACTACATCCACTGTTTCTTAGCTAGCTAGCACATCGCCCTGTACATGTTGATCAAGTTTTATCCTCGTCGCCAAAAAGATGTAGTAACTTGACAAGGAATGCCCACACGCATTTCAATATTACTTTCTTTTACAGTAAAAAATATTGTTGGAAACTGTTGGAATACCCGCCCATATGACCATTACGTGCCTCTGTGGTGGCCATAGATATAATTCCAGTGACCTATTTCAAAAACAACTTGTGTATCTTGAATAATTTGATATCAATGAGATGGGCACATGTAGTAGTTACAGAATCTAATATATACAGTGGGGGAAAAAAAGTATTTAGTCAGCCACCAATTGTGCAAGTTCTCCCACTTAAAAAGATGAGAGAGGCCTGTAATTTTCATCATAGGTACACGTCAACTATGACAGACAAATTGAAGAAAGAAATTCCAGAAAATCACATTGTAGGATTTTTTATGAATTTATTTGCAAATTATGGTGGAAATTAAGTATTTGGTCACCTACAAACAAGCAAGATTTCTGGCTCTCACAGACCTGTAACTTCTTCTTTAAGAGGCTCCTCTGTCCTCCACTCGTTACCTGTATTAATGGCACCTGTTTGAACTTGTTATCAGTATAAAAGACACCTGTCCACAACTTCAAACAGTCACACTCCAAACTCCACTATGGCCAAGACCAAAGAGCTGTCAAAGGACACCAGAAACGAAATTGTAGACCTGCATCAGGCTGGGAAGACTGAATCTGCAATAGGTAAGCAGCTTGGTTTGAAGAAATCAACTGTGGGAGCAATTATTAGGAAATGGAAGACATACAAGACCACTGATAATCTCCCTCGATCTGGGGCTCCATGCAAGATCTCACCCCGTGGGGTCAAAATGATCACAAGAACGGTGAGCAAAAATCCCAGAACCACATGGGGGGACCTAGTGAATGACCTGCAGAGAGCTGGGACCAAAGTAACAAAGCCTACCATCAGTAACACACTACGCCGCCAGGGACTCAAATCCTGCAGTGTCAGACGTGTCCCCCTGCTTAAGTCAGTACATGTCCAGGCCCGTCTGAAGTTTGCTAGAGTGCATTTGGATGATCCAGAAGAGGATTGGGAGAATGTCATATGGTCAGATGAAACCAAAATAGAACTTTTTGGTAAAAACTCAACTCGTCGTGTTTGGAGGACAAAGAATGCTGAGTTGCATCCAAAGAACACCATACCTACTGTGAAGCATGGGGGTGGAAACATCATGCTTTGGGGCTGTTTTTCTGCAAAGGGACCAGGACGACTGATCCGTGTAAAGGAAAGAATGAATGGGGCCATGTATCGTGCGATTTTGTGTGAAAACCTCCTTCCATCAGCAAGGGCATTGAAGATGAAACGTGGCTGGGTCTTTCAGCATGACAATGATCCCAAACACACCGCCCGGGCAACGAAGGAGTGGCTTCATAAGAAGCATTTCAAGGTCCTGGAGTGGCCTAGCCAGTCTCCAGATCTCAACCCCATAGAAAATCTTTGGAGGGAGTTGAAAGTCCGTGTTGCCCAGCGACAGCCCCAAAACATCACTGCTCTAGAGGAGATCTGCATGGAGGAATGGGCCAAAATACCAGCAACAGTGTGTGAAAACCTTGTGAAGACTTACAGAAAACATTTGACCTGTGTCATTGCCAACAAAGGGTATATAACAAAGTATTGAGAAACTTTTGTTATTGACCAAATACTTATTTTCCACCATAATTTGCAAATAAATTCATTAAAAATCCTACAATGTGATTTTCTGGAGAAAAAAATTCTCATTTTGTCTGTCATAGTTGACGTGTACCTATGATGAAAATTACAGGCCTCTCATCTTTTTAAGTGGGAGAACTTGCACAATTGGTGGCTGACTAAATACTTTTTTCCCCCACTGTATGTATGAAATGACCAAGTAGGAACCTGGAAGGCAAGACAAATCAAAGTGACATATTCATGTAAGAAATGGTCTGATATCAAACTCTTGGTTCAGACCTTTAGGAGACATGGTGCACAAACGGTGAATCCAATACAATTCTCTTCTCAATAATATCGTTTTGTCACAGAACACAATGCCACAGATGTCTCAAGTTTTGAGTGAGTGTGCAATTGGCATAGACTGCAGGAATGTCCACCAGAGCTGTTGCCAGAGAATGTAATGTTAATTTCTGTACTATAAGCCACCTCCAATGTCATTTTAGAGAATTTGTCAGTACGTCCAACCGGCCTCACAACCGCAGACCACGTGTAACCACACCAGCCCAGGACCTCCACATCCGGCTTCTTCACCTGCAGGATCGTCTGAGACCAGCCACACGGACAACTGTGGGTTTGCACAACCTGACAAACTGTCAGAAACCGTCTCAGGGAAGCTCGACTGCGTGCTCGTTGTCCTCACCAGGTTCTTGACCTGACTGCAGTTTGGCGTCGTAACCGACTTCAGTGGGAAAATGCTCACATTCGATGGCTACTGGCACATTGGAGAAGTGTTCTCTTCACGGATGAATCCCGGTTTCAACTGTACCGGGCAGACAGCGTGTATGGCGTCGTGTGGGCGAGCGTTTTGCTGATGTCAACATTGTGACCAGAGTGCTCCTTGGTGGCGGTGGGGTTATGGTATGGGCAGGCATAAGCTATGGACAACGAACACAATTGCATTTTATCGATGGCAATTTGAATGCCTAGAGATACCATGATGAGATCCTGAGGCCCATTGTCATGCCATTCATCACCTCATGTTTCATAATGATAACGCACAGCTCCATGTCGCAAGGATCTGTACACAATTCCTGGAAGCTGAAAATGTCCCAGTTCTTCCATGGCCTGCAGTCTCACCAGAGCATGTTTGGGATGCTCTGTATCGACGTGCACGACCGCCTTTTCCAGTTCCTGCAAATATTCAACAACTTTGCACAGCCATTTAAGAGGAGTGGTTCAACATTCCACAGGCCACAAACAACACAGCCTGATCAACTCTATGTGAAGGAGATGTGTTGTGTACTAACTGTAAGTCGCTCTGGATAAGAGCGTCTGCTAAATGACTAAAATGTAAATGTAAAATGTTGTGATGCAGGAGGCACATGGTGGTCACACCAGGTACTGACTGGTTTTCTGATCCATGCCCCTATCTTTTGCATATCTGTATTCCCAGTCTTGTGAAATCCATAGATTAAGGCCTAATTTATTTATTTCAATTGACTGATTTCCTTATATGAACTGTAACTCAGTAAAATCTTTTAAATTGTTGCATGCTGCGTTCATATTTTTATTCATTGTATATGCGCTGAGCATCACTCAGCGCATATACAATGAAACAAAATAGAAAGGCAACATGCAACAATTTAAAAGATTTTAATGAGTTACAGTTCATGTAAGGAAATCAGTCAATGTGAAATCAGTCATCGTTGAGGCAACGTGATTGACAGCCAATGACATGGCTGATTGACATTCTAGGACCTACCCACTTGGGATCAAACCATTTTCTTGTGGTATTTAAAAATTCTAATCCGTTTCCACTCCAACTATCTACACGCGCTCTTCCAATTTCAGTGAACTAAGAAGGTGAGAATATTTGAAAACATTTACCTTTGCTAAATCTGAGTATTTTTTAAAGACGTTGCTTTGTTTACTTTTAAAAAATCAGTTTATTGCCAAGAGAAAGGCAAAGTTTACTGGAGCTAGCATTATTATGCAGAATCATTATTCAACGTTCCTAGCTAGCGAGCTACCCATGCCACATGCTATTAGCTAGTATCAGGAAAAAATTTGCAAATTGGAAACTCATTGTAGCCAGCTGTTGAAAACATGATCATGGTGGTAACATTGTGAGTTACCTAACGTTAACTGAAATATAATTTAAGTCTTCAGGTGCGACGAGCTTGTTGAGTAAATTAGCTAGGTACGGTAAGTAGAAGCCTGCCTTCAGCAACCACCAGGCCACACTTCGAGGAAAGATGTCTACCATCAGATTTGGATCAACTTGTAGTCCTTCGAAGACTACTCGATCTGAGACATTGCCACGATGGAATGATGAGGAGGGGGAAATGGCTGGTAAGAGTAAACTATACATTGCCATTTGTATTTCAATCAATTACAATTTTTATTGGATCCAGATCCTCCCTTGATTGGAGGCTGCTAGGGACTTCTCATACTGTGATTCACTGTACTCTGTCTGCAATGCTCTAATTGTCCTGCACGGATGTGATCAACTGACAGACCCATGGGGCGGCGCACAATTGGCCCAGCGTCGTCCAGGGTCGGGGAGGGAATGGCTGGCAGGGATGTAGCTCAGTTGGTAGAGCATGGCGTTTGCAACGCCAGGGTTGTGGGTTCGATTCCCCCTGGGGGCCAGTATGAAAAAAAAAATAATAAAAAAATAATAATAATAATTAAAAAAATAATGTATGCACTCACTAACTGTAAGTCGCTCTGGATAAGAGCGTCTGCTAAATGACTAAAATGTAAATGTAAATGTTGATTACTGCACTAGCACCAAAGATTTGTATAACTAAAACAAGATAGACCACAGCTTGTCGTTTCCAATGGGAACAAATGAATCATAGTGGGCAGAACAAGCACGCTAGCAATATCCTATTGGCGCGTTCTAGTATGCGTCAACATATTTCCGTTAGGGAACGCCTACTCTGAAGTGCGCGTGTGCAATAACTCAATTCGCATTTGCACTCGTAAACAGCGTGATTTTTGAAAACTTTTGAAAGGGTCTACAAAACTTAGTCCACTCTGTTCTTAACATATTATAGTTTTGGGGACAGAAAACATATTGAGATTGAAATGTTTAATCAATGAGAAAATTTGCAGAATGTCGCCCCAAAAAACATATCGTTCCATCTTCTCCCAGTGGGCTTAATCTAGTGGAAACGCCAACCGGCTGCTTTACATTTATACATCCAGTGAAATGTCTCGTTGTTCTATCTGTGCTAGCACTACTGTGTTTGTAATCTTCAATGTTGCTGGAATTAGCTAATGTATGCTACAGGAAGGCAACAGGCCTAGGCCTAACTATCCCTTTTTGATTGGATCCATTTGGGCAGAGTGCGAATTACACCATGACATTTGGGGGGTCACTAATTATTAATTTAATGAATTACCATTTTAATGTGGCAAGAACACAACCAGTCATGATATTTTCATCTGATTGTCAAACAAATCACTTCAAAAAGTAGGCTACCTGTGTTTGTCCACTCCAACATAATTCCATTATCCAAACTGCTTGTAAAGCCAGCCTACTTGCGACATTTGATGAATGGAAATAGACATCTGTTACGAAACACCAAAAAGTGTGCCCAATGACATTCATCAATTGTCATTGATTAGGCCTACATTAATTTGTGTCTTGCTGACAAATTTACCTTAATGTAGCCTGAAAAGTTGTCCAAAATTCATGAGTTAATGCTTGGAGTCTTCACAGATCGTGACATAACACTACCTTTCTTTCCTTACATTTATGACAGTGTTGTCATTATTAAGCATTTAACAATTTACTTGAACATTGAACTTAAACCCTGTATGAATCATGGATCTTGGAGATCTCTGAGAAATGCACTGTAAGCGTAACTATGCCTATGTAACATTTAATTATGTTTCACTGTGAAAACAGTTCTCATGGGCACACAAATCCAAAATAATGTAGGCATATACCATTGCAAAATCGAATGCTTCTAACTGAACTTTAACCTCATCTAACTGAAAGAGTCACATTATAGGCCTACTGTCCTTAATGTATACTTGTCCGTAACGTATACATGTTGGATGGATTGGCTGTGCATTGGTGTCTACTAGCCCCGTGTAGCTCAGTTGGTAGAGCATGGCGCTTGCAACGCCAGGGTTGTGGGTTCGTTTCCCACGGGGGGCCAGTATGAACAAAAAAAATAAAAAATGTATGCACTCACTAATCTGGATAAGAGTGTCTGCTAAATGACTAAAATGTAACTGTAGGCTAGCTGTCTAGTCATATTGTTGACCATCATAAGGGATCATGGCTTTCACCTGTATTCACCAGGGCCTAGATTCACCAAACTTTCTTAACTGCCATTTTTCCTTAACTATAGACTTAAGAAGAAAGTTAAGCAAAGTTGCTATTCCTCAAAGGTTCTTGGAAATTTTATTGCGCTATTTTTGTTTCTCCTTAAGAAAACTTTATTTTCAAGGATATATTTTCATTGGTAATGTTCTTAATTCCAAGGTAACTAAACCCTTATCTTAAACTCAAGGGCAGTGAGAGAAAAAGCTCATGAAAGCAATTGAACATGTTTAATTCACACATACTTCATCTGAAAGTTTCAGTATTTATTATTTTCTAAAACATGTTCTTGGGTTTAAAATAATCAATACTGAAACTTTCAGATGAAGTATGTGTGAATTAAACAATTCAATTGATTTCATGAGCTTTTTCTCTCACTGCCCTGAGTTTAAGACCATGGTTTAGTTACCTTGGAATTAAGAACCTGAAAAACAAAGCAATGAGTGCTCTAAACCACTGACTGACAAAAGCAAACAATTTCAAATCAAATTTTATTTGCCACATGCGCCAAATACAACAGGTGTAGACATTACTGTGAAATGCTTACTTACAGCCCTTAACCAACAATGCATTTATTTTTAATAAAAAAGTAGAAGTAAAATAACAGTAGGGAGGCTATATACAGGGGGGTACCGGTGCAGAGTCAATGTGCGGGGGCACCGGCTAGTTGAGGTAATATGTACATGTGGGTAGAGTTAAAGTGACTATGCATAAATAATTAACAGAGTAGCAGCAGCGTAAAAATATTGGGTGGGGGGGCAGTGCAAGTAGTCCGGGTAGCCATGATTAGCTGTTCAGGAGTCTTATGGCTTGGGGGTAGAAGCTGTTGAGAAACCTTTTGGACCTAGACTTGGCGCTCCGGTACCGCTTGCCGTGCAGTAGCAGAGAGAACAGTCTGACTAGGGTGGCTGGAGTCTTTGACAATTTTGAGGGCCTTCCTCTGACACCGCCTGGTATAGAGCTCCTGGATGGCAGGAAGCTTGGCCCCAGTGATGTACTGGGCCGTACGCACTACCCTCTGTAGTGCCTTGCGGTCGGAGGGAATACTTGGAACAGATTTCTTAAATTAAAATCACTTGGCACTGATTTCCTGGTGTTTTTAAAGTATTTTATGTCCAACAATGAAGAGGAAAAAGGTGTGTGTACAGTTGAAGTCGGAAGTCTATGGGGACAAAGACCGTACTTTTTTGAGAAATGTCCTCTGGTCTGATGAAACAAAAATAGAACTGTTTGGCCATAATGACCATCGTTATGTTTGAAGGAAAAAGGGGGACGCTTGCAAGCCGAAAAACACCATCCCAACCGTGAAGCACAGGGGTGGCAGCATCATGCTGTGGGGGTGCTTTGCTGCAGGAGGGACTGGTGCACTTCACAAAATAGATGATATCATGAGGAAGGAAAATGTTGTGGATATATTGAAGCAACATCTCAAGACATCAGTCAGGAAGTTAAAGCTTGGTTGCAAATGGGTCTTCCAAATGGACAATGACCCCAAGCATACTTCCAAAGTTGTGGCAAAATGGCTTAAGGACAACACAGTCAAGGTATTGGAGTGGCCATCACAAAGCCCTGACCTCAATCCTATAGAACATTTGTGGGCAGAACTGAAAAGGCGTGTGCGAGCAAGGAGGCCTACAAACCTGACTCAGTTACACCAGCTCTGTCAGGATGAATGGGCCAAAATTCACCCAACTTATTGTGGGAAGCTTGTGGAAGGCTTCCCAAAACGTTTGACCCAAGTTAAACAATTTAAAGGCAATGCTACCAAATACTAATTGAGTATATGTGAACTTCTGACCCACTGGGAATGTGATGAAAGAAATAAAAGCTGAAATAAATCATTCTCTCTACTATTATTCTGACATTTCACATTCTTAAAAGAAAGTGGTGATCCTAACTGACCTAAGACAGGGAATTTTTACTAGGATTAAATGTCAGGAATTGTGAAACTGAGTTTAAATGTATTTGGCTAATGTGTATGTAAACTTCCGACTTCAACTGTGTGTGTGATTTTTATTTTTTGTATAATTGTTTTGCTTGACTTGGGGGGCCAAATAAAACCACCCAGTTGGGGAACCCTGGTTTAAACCATGACAGAGAGGTGAGGGTGTTCGTTTCATTTGGAAACTTGTTTTTACCACTGTGAGAAATGTTTACCACTAATTTAAATAAATAATAGTGGTTAAATTAGCAGTTTGACTTTTGTTGCATTTAGGGGAGATAACATCATTCAGGGGGGCTGCACCCGTAATTCGCACCCTGCATTTGGGTAAACCAGTGACACCTTGCCTACATTAGAATGAGCTAAAAGTAGGCCAACTAAATCATTTCCTTGATGTTAACTTGGCTCCATGGCATTAGTCTCTCTCTCTCTATTGTCAATAGATCCAGAAGATGCCTGTGATCCAAATAAACTCCTTCAGTGTCCATACGACAAGAACCATCAGATCCGTGCCTGCCGCTTTCCATACCATCTGATCAAGTGCAGCAAGGTTAGTAGCTATCGGAAGGAATGTTGAAGGCGCAATATGACATTGTGGTCCATGACATCTCAAATGTTGCTAATATAGTCAGTTAGTACATGGAGAAAACAAGTTATTCTGCTGTCCTCTTGTCCTTTACTGTAGAACCACCCTAAACTGGCCAGTGAATTAAAAACGTGCCCTTTCAACGCCCGCCACCTGATGCCCAAGCATGAGCTTTCACACCACATTGCTAACTGTGTTGACAGAATATCTGTGAATGCAGAAGACTGTGAGCTCTTTTTGTTTTACCCTTTCTGTATTTTCATTATTCAATGATAAGCCTATTTGCACCCTGTAGTGAGTCTAACCAGGTTATGTGGTTTCCAGTGGGCAGCGCTGAGGTGCAGACCAAATGGCAGGTACCTGTTAGCACGTGGACAAACACCAACTGTGATGAGGACTGGGATAAAGGTACTATCTCACGAGCTGCTGATTATGCTTGTATACTCAAAGCAAGGTTGCCATGTATGCATTTATTTGTTTCGTAACTTCTGCACACTTCGGTGACTCTGAGGCAATGAATGCAACTTTTCAGATATTTTTATGCTGGAGATTTTCCCTCTATTTCCATCGGCATCATTTTATTAAAATGCAGCTTTTTCTTTTTGCAGAGGCTGATATTTCTTCAGTGCCTTTCGTATGGGGAGTGTCCACAAACCTGATCAGTCAGAACAGGTCAGCTGACCACACAACGTTGGCAGAGGAGTTCATTGCTTCTAAATATGATAGCTGAAACAAGGCTGGTTAATATTTTCAAATGTAGTTTTAAGTGTAGTCTTTGTTCTTTTTAGGCCTGAGCCATGCACTACAAACAATCTTACTCCTGGACTTCGAGCTCCAAGAACTCTGCCCTGGAAAATGTGTAAGTAATGTTTGATGTCATAGTATTCTGTATTTCTTATGGTTTGGAGCCACGCTGTCTTTTCTTGCTGTACTGTCTCACTTAAAAGCTTGTGGCCAGGTGTTCACTTGTCCCTCTTAGGCTCATTGTATTTCTCATTCCTTTTGTTCAGGACTGACAATAAGGGCAGAATGTTGAAGTCAAGAGGCTATCTTGCAGTTAAGGTTTATATCATAGATGCATGCTTTATTATCTCACTTTTACTTGACTATGGGCACATTTGAGAAATCCCATTGACTATTTTGTTTGACTATAAATGCATGCTTTGTAACTTAACCTTAGACATGGTGATTGGGGTTTGTGTGTTCCCCTCCTTTGTTATTAAAAGGCTTTTTGCAAAAGTGTTTCCCTATACTAACTCTGTATGTAGGCTGTTAATGTACTGTATGTTCCTGATGCCCTACTGCAGAGATGAATATATTCTCACTGTATTGCACATATTAGATACAGTGGGGGAAAAAAGTATTTAGTCAGCCACCAATTGTGCAAGTTCTCCCACTTAAAAAGATGAGAGAGGCCTGTAATTTTCATCATAGGTACACGTCAACTATGACAGACAAATTGAGAAAAAAAATCAAGAAAATCACATTGTAGGATTTTTAATGAATTTATTTGCAAATTATGGTGGAAAATAAGTATTTGGTCAATAACAAAAGTTTCTCAATACTTTGTTATATACCCTTTGTTGGCAATGACACAGGTCAAACGTTTTCTGTAAGTCTTCACAAGGTTTTCACACACTGTTGCTGGTATTTTGGCCCATTCCTCCATGCAGATCTCCTCTAGAGCAGTGATGTTTTGGGGCTGTCGCTGGGCAACACAGACTTTCAACTCCCTCCAAAGATGTTCTATGGGGTTGAGATCTGGAGACTGGCTAGGCCACTCCAGGACCTTGAAATGCTTCTTACGAAGCCACTCCTTCGTTGCCCGGGCGTTGTGTTTGGGATCATTGTCATGCTGAAAGACCCAGCCACGTTTCATCTTCAATGCCCTTGCTGATGGAAGGAGGTTTTCACTCACAATCTCACGATACATGGCCCCATTCATTCTTTCCTTTACACGGATCAGTCGTCCTGGTCCCTTTGCAGAAAAACAGCCCCAAAGCATGATGTTTCCACCCCCATGCTTCACAGTAGGTATGGTGTTCTTTGGATGCAACTCTGCATTCTTTGTCCTCCAAACACGACGAGTTGAGTTTTTACCAAAAAGTTCTATTTTGGTTTAATCTGACCATATGACATTCTCCCGAGCCTCTTCTGGATCATCCAAATGCACTCTAGCAAACTTCAGACAGGCCTGGACATGTACTGGCTTAAGCAGGGGGACACGTCTGGCACTGCAGGATTTGAGTCCCTGGCGGCGTAGTGTGTTACTGATGGTAGGCTTTGTTACTTTGGTCCCAGCTCTCTGCAGGTCATTCACTAGGTCCCCCCGTGTGGTTCTGGGATTTTTGCTCACCGTTCTTGTGATCATTTTGACCCCACGGGGTGAGATCTTGCGTGGAGCCCCAGATCGAGGGAGATTATCAGTGGTCTTGTATGTCTTCCATTTCCTAATAATTGCTCCCACAGTTGATTTCTTCAAACCAAGCTGCTTATCTATTGCAGATTCAGTCTTCCCAGCCTGGTGCAGGTCTACAATTTTGTTTCTGGTGTCCTTTGACAGCTCTTTGATCTTGGCCATAGTGGAGTTTGGAGTGTGACTGTTTGAGGTTGTGGACAGGTGTCTTTTATACTGATAACAAGTTCAAACAGGTGCCATTAATATAGGTAACGAGTGGAGGACAGAGGAGCCTCTTAAAGAAGAAGTTACAGGTCTGTGAGAGGCAGAAATCTTGCTTGTTTGTAGGTGACCAAATACTTATTTTCCACCATAATTTGCAAATAAATTCATTACAAATCCTACAATGTGATTTTCTGGATTTTTTTTTCTCAATTTGTCTGTCATAGTTGACGTGTACCTATGATGAAAATTACAGGCCTCTCATCTTTTTAAGTGGGAGAACTTGCACAATTGGTGGCTGACTAAATACTTTTTTTCCCCACTGTATCTTCAAGATGCTCATTATGCTGACTGTAAAGTTGATTTAGCCTCATAATGGATCTTGCTTGGCCAGTTTGATGTGTATTATTGGATTTTGGCCTGTAATTATTTTATTTTTTAAGTGAGGTAGAGTAATGTTCTATCCTCATGAAGGTTTAAATGTCTACCAATTTGCATGTTGTGCACCAGAGAACTGAAGGGGTGAAAATTGATTGGGCATTTAAGCAGATTGGACTAGACTTGGACTGGGTGTACTCTTCGTATAAAGGCTAGCTACTGCAAGCATCTTCAATATCAATTGAGTGTGTAGTGTGTATCAGACCCACAGGTCTGCCCTCCCAGACACAGCTCAGCTGGCTCATTTAACCCACTGTGGCAATTGAGTACACCAGCTCTGAGCTAGTGGGTTCACTCCCAACAGACTTGCTGCAATGATGGCTTTTGTCTGCCCCGTGTGCTAGCCTATATTTTTCATGTTTGTCTTTGGTGGAAAATCATCTAAGTCGTTTTTTCTTCTGTGTATCAAGCATGGTTGTCATGTGCCGCAATATTCTTTTAACATGGTTCAGTCTTGTGCTTTTTGTGGCTGCTTCCTGAAAATGTAATTAAAAAGGTGCAATGCTGGTAATGTTGTCTAATTTGCATTTTACAGCAAATCTGTAGCTGTGTGTAGCTAAAGCTCAGGATATCAAGTCCCCCCCCCAAAAAAAGTGACTAGGATTTTTGCAATGTGTGTACACACATTTTACTATGGTTTGCCCGTCTGTCATAACTGGATATTTTTGCTGTGTTGCTGTCAATCACCTTTTTAGTGGACTGAACAAAATGAAAGCGATTGGGGGGTGGGTGGAAGCTATCGCTTCCTAGTCATAACACATGACTAGAGTCCCGGGACGGTCTGCTCTTGTTGTGATGGGAAGCTATTGCAGCGGTTTTCACTGATGAGCTCAATGTTGACGCTCCCGGACTCTGTCAGATAGTTGTACTGGAAATATAGGGGACGAGTTCCTCTGGCAGTATGATCCTAAAGACACTAGCCTAATAGTTCTGTCAGAGCAACTAAATAGGCATGATCAAATCACTAAAGATTAGGCTAATGGTCTGATGTTGCAGTTCATTAGACAGGAAATAATTCTCATTAACCAGGTTTCCATCCAATCTTTTTATGCGCGTTAAGTATATGTTGGATAGAAAATGTCACGAAAGGCCTTATGGAAACAGCAAATTTGTTGGTAAACCTTCCAAATGTCGACAACTAAATACGCTAGACAAGGTGGGATCTTTTTGTGTCTGTAAAATTAATTATGCGCAAACATTAATATAATAACCATCGTATCAAAGTGAACTTGGAGTCACGCGATGACGTGTGGTCCTCCCACTAGGACTGGGGAAAGCATTCCGTTTATTAGGCTACAGATGAAGTAAGTTATGAACTTCACAAAGTAGTGCAAGGTGATGAGCTTGATGCTCCTTTCCAATAACTATCTAGGGTCTTATTATTCTGACATGATGATCAATACTTGGCTGCCATTTTGACAAATAAAAAGAATCTCGCTCTTTTGTCCATAATCTCATCATTTAGGCTATAGGCCTATCTGCACTGTAGTCTATCTGCGAGCTGTTGGCTGGAGTGTGCGTGCCAATACCAGAGTGGGCACATTCGCTATATAATGCAAAACATTTTTTGTGACAACCATCAGTAGCGTTGAAAATGCAATGGAACCACTTAACTTTTTATTTTTTTATATATTCAGTACATGGGAATTTAACCGCAAAAGGTATTTTTATGTGCACTATGTCATCATGCAGCCTTTATCCGCAACAAGTCAATTTGATGGAAACATCTCTGGTGGGAAAATGCATATTGTTTTTATTCGCATGAAAATCTGTCGCAAATTAGATGGAAACCTAGCTAGTGTCTATTATACTGTTATCTTTGTGATTTGGTATCTATATGACTCAAATCATCAATAGACTGGAAATTACTGTTTATCTGCTGAAAATAAATGTATTGTGTAATGTATAGGCTAGATCCTTTCCATGATCAGAGGCTGCAAGAGTGCATTGCTGTGGGTTAGCCTTAGCACACCTCTCACAGTCCTTTTGAGCCTATTATCACCAGGGCCCAGTTTTTCTAAAGTTATCCCCATTGAAGTCCATGATTTGTCCATTCTATTTGTATAGGTGAAGTCCAGATAACTTTTGAAAAACTGGGCCCAACTGATCTCTTGTTAAAACCTCTACTGGATCGTTGTCACGAAATCAGGATAGTTGTTGCTCAGTATGCGATAATGTGACTAGAATGACGTTGTAAACAACAGCCAACTTTCTGGGACATATAAAGTTGAAGTCGGAAGTTTACATACACTTAGGTTGAAGTCATTAAAACTCGTTTTTCAACCACTCCACACATTTCTTGTTAACGAACTATAGTTTTGGCAAGTCGATTAGGACATTGACTTTGTGCATGACACAAGTAATTTTTCCAACAATTATTTACAGACAGATTATTTCACTTATAATTCACTGTATCACAATTCCAGTGGGTCAGAAGTTTACATACACTAAGTTGACTATGCCTTTAAACAGCTCGGAAGATTCCAGCAAATTATGTCATGGCTTTAGATGCTTCTGATAGGCTAATTGACATAATTTGAGTCAATTGGAGGTGTACCTGTGGATGTATTTCAAGGCATACCTTCAAACACAGTGCCTCTTTGCTTGACATCATGGGGAAATCAGTCAAGACCTCAGAAAATTAATTGTAGACCTCCACAAGTCTGGTTCATCCTTGGGAGCAGTATCCAAACGCCTGAAGGTACCACGTTCATCTGTACAAACAATAGTACGCAAGTATAAACACCATGGGACCATGCAGCCGTCATACCGCTCAGGAAGGAGACGTATTCTGTCTCCT